TCGAATTGGATTAGGCATTAAACCTAATTCGATTAGTTCTCTACGGATTGGATTAGATTGGACTAAGTTATTTTATGGATTGGATCGGATTGGTTTCATTAATTGACCATTTTCCAAATAGATATTAGTATTTTTAACCATGGCCTAATATATGAATTATCAACGGTTAGTAAGACTTAAAAATTAGTATTTAAAAATTAGTAGGTCTTTTAGAGTTAAAATTTAGTAGGTGTTTTTTTTTTTTTTTTTGGAAGTTAAAGCAACTGATTGATGGAGTGGGAATTTGAACATGGACAGTTAAAAGTTAATAAAACCTAAAAGAATAAAGAAAATAAAAATAGTGTGTATATATATATTTTATATAAAAATTTTAGCAAATCAGATAAATTAACAGTTCGAATTTTTAAGATCTTAATTCATTGACCGATCCACGGATTACTATTCCTTATTTACTAGTCCCAACCATGAGACCCGTACATGTACATATATACTTACATACCAAAAACAAAAGAAAAAAAAAAAAAGTAGTAATCAAAATAAATAAAACATCAATGGTTTTTCAAGAAAGAACTAACTTGAAATTAGTCTAGAAGCATTAAAATATTATTTAAAGCATTAAAATACCATTCCCATCACTATTATCAGGGTTTAATGGTTCATAAAATTTTAATAATTATTTAATTTTTTTTTATTCTTGTAATATATATATATTTTAAGGCAAAGTACAAAAAAACCTTACTCGACTTGTAACCTTTTCAGTAAACCCCCATTTTTTATTTTTATACTAAAGAACCCTCTTTAACTTGTAGTATTTTTCCAATAAATCCATTGTCTAATTTTTTATCAAATAACCTCCCTCAACTATCGGAGGGGTACAAGAGTTTATATTTGGACCAAAATGCTTTTTTATTTAAATCTTAATTCTCCCAAATTTCAAAAATTCATATCTCACAAACCGTATATTTAAAAATTGTAAATAATATATGTACGAAAAGCTTATGAAATAAGAATTCTAGAAATATAAAATTTGTGCAACAAAAACCTTCATAACCAGAGAGAAATAGGCAATCTAAAAATATACTCCAATAATCTTATTTTATTTTTTAAAAATAAAATACTCGAGATGTTTGTAAGAAAATTTTTAAAATTATTCATTTACATATGGAGTAGAATATATAAAAAATTTAGCCCCAACAGAGATTGATTTCATGATATATCATATTTTGCGTAAAGTATTTTCATTATTTTATAGCCTCACCATTAAAAAAAAACAAATCAAAATGAATATTCGGTCTCTATTGGGGCTAATTTTTTTATATGTTATGTTCCATAAGAAAATGAATAATTCTAAAAATTTTCGTGCAAATAATTCAAGTATTTTTTACAAATAAAATAAAATAAGATTCTTGCAGTAGATTTTTAGATTGTCTATTTATCTCTGGTTATGAAGTTTTGTTAAACAAATCTTATATTTATGAAATCTTTGTTTTATAAGCTTCCCATGCATATACTATTTGCAATATTTAGATCTACAGTTTATGAGATAGGAATTTTTTAAATTTAAAAAAATAATATTTAAATAAAAGGGCATTTTGGTCCAAATATCAACTCTTTTACCTATTTGAGGAGGTTCTTTAGTAAAAAATTAGATGAGTGTTTACTGAAAAGGATACAAGTCGATGTGATTTTTCTGTACTTTGCCCTATAATTTATGCTAACAAGGTAAATTACATTTTTCTAACTATGTTATTTCTTCATTTGTGAAATCTTTCATTATTATTTACAAAAATCAATATTAAACCCTTGTGAGATTTAAGAGAAAGTTAATACAAAATAAAAAAGAGCAAGATTTAGAAAGACAAGAAACAAGAGAAATTAACTAGTGGTTAACAAAAAAAAAAAAGAAAAGCAAGATACTAAAAACGTGAATTGAAGAAGTGGGGTTGACAAAAAAATCTTAGAGCATCTTCAAGAGTCTGTTAAAATATTCTTTTGTACACAACTTTTTTATACAGCTATATTTTTCTTTCTTATCCCTATTTCTCATTCCATTAATGAATCAACTTTATATTAAATAAGTTTGTAAAAATTATGTGGAGTCAACATAATACTGATTTAATTGTTGTTATTGGAGGATATATTTTTACACAAAATATATAAAACAACTGCTGGAGTTAAAAATAAATAATCTAAAATTTTTGTGTAAATTTATTATAACACACCAGATTTAAAATATACATATATATACACATGGTTGAAAATATTCTTGCCATAACTTAAAATATACACACGGTTGGAAATACTCTTACCATAACTTAAAATATGTACACGGTTGGAAATACTCTTACCATAACTTAAAAGGGTAATTGTAATATTTGAGAAAAATAATTATTAATTTTAAAGTTAGGGTTGAAGTGCGCCTCCCTAAATAATATATATTACTATTTTCGCAAAGTTTTACAATGTGCACGCGTGTTATAAGTTTAACAACGTAATATGTTTTTTTAATTATTTTTATTTGATTGAATGGAAAGGAAATAATAAGAAATTTAGGAAAAATCAAAAGAAAGAAAAGGGTTATCGTATAATTTGACTTTTATACTTCTCTATAACTATAAATGAAGAGTTTTAGAAGTTTAAGAAAGAAAAACAGAAAGTAAAATTATAGATAAATTATACTTCTTTCGATAAATATTTCTATATCAGCATTTGTGAAAGTTCTAAATTTACTCCTCATAATTTGTAATTTATATTTCCAATTTATTGAATATTTAGTTTCATTTTAAGTTGTCTCCAAAAAGTTTGAATTTATTCCATAAAATGGTAATACTATTTTTCATTTAAAAAATATTAGAATCATTTTCTTATACATTTAGATAATAGGCTGATTATTATTATTTTTTCAAAGATAAATTAGACTAATTATTGAATAAATCAGGTGCGTATATATGAACGATTAGAAAAAAAAAAAAAAAAGTTTAAAAGTCTTTATATCTAGAAAATATATATATATATTTGGATAATTTTTTCAAAAGAAAATGATTCCCTTCTTATTTTGTGCCACTTTTTATATCTTCTAGATTTTTTTTTTTGTTTTTTTCCACTTCATCTTTATCAAACTAAAGATAAAATTTCCATCACTTTTGTTCTTTACCAAACTTTTTCCTTTCAAACAAACAGCTTTCAAAATTTGTGTTTATTTAAAGAGAACCATGAGCTCAATATTTTCTGAATTATTCATGTTAAATTTCAAGACATAATTTTTACTGTTCGAAAAAGTAACTATACAAAAATTATAAAGTCAAAATTTCGTATCAACTATATAGTTTTTTTTTTTTTTTTATATATATTTTTTTTATTTTATATTCACTTTATTTTGACCAAATTGAAGTTTAATTTGAACTAACTATTTTATTTTAAAATATTTTGACATAAATTTTTATTGCAAGATCATTTAATATGAGCAAAAATTATATAGTCAAAATTTTGTATCATTTATAGAATAAATCACACGGTCTCATGATGTCATAATGTAGATAAATGATGTCATTTGCTACTCACATAAATAAAGTTGAAATAATTGTGGTAATTTATTCTTATTTTTTATTTTTTAAAAACTATTTTGGAATAAATTTTTATGGCAAGTACATTTAATATGAAAAAACAATATTTTAATATTTTTTGAAATTAAAAAAGTATTAATTAATTAAAGGAATAAATTATGACAACCGTTACAAGTTCATATTACAAACATATGATCAGCAAAACGCGTAAAGCTCAAAAAGAGTACAAAAACAAAATTATGGTTTTTAATGGCAATCAATTTAACGCGAATTTCCTTTCCGCTCATCTCCAGTTGTTTTTATCCTTTTCCTATTCCTTTCCCTTTTTCCCCGTGGAAATTAAATTCCCTCGTACTTTCCCAGTGAAAAGACGCGCCACCGTCACTGGGTCAATGACGTCAAAATAAAGGTTGCACTGAATTTAACTGGACAGTGCATTACACGCTCAGGGAAAACGAGTGGGACTTGTTTCCCATAGAACTTTCTAAATGTAGCGTTATTAAACAAGAAACCTGTGAAGGAAACAGCGGCGGTTGCTCTAATGACCTCACGCGTCTATACCTACAATACTTATAAAAACTAGCCCTAACCTCCTCCATCCTCTATAAATCAAATTTAAAAGACATTGACTCAGAAAAGAAAAAAAGGCCAAGTAAGTATTGTATTACTGCAGTATTTCGTATTATTATTTTTTGAGTTCGTTTAGAGTTCGTCTATAGTGGTGATGGTGGTGTTTGACTTCTTAAAGTATGTCTATTTCACATGTTATAGGTCGGTTTTTAAAAATATGTTTATTTCACATGTTATAAATAATTATTGAATTTTTTTGTAGTATTAGAGAGGATTTAAATTTTTTGTTTAAGAATCCACATCGACTTTATCTCACATGTATAAGGTAATTATCAATAAAATTTTCTGATATTCCGAGGGAGTTTCAAAATTTTTTTTTTTCCTCTTTGTTTTTTGTAAAATATTCGGTGATCGTTAGGTTATCTTCTTGAAGTTGTATATATCTCACATATACACTTAATTATTGAAAAATTATTCTTTAAAAGATTTGAAGATTTTTTTTGACTGCTTTTCATTGGACTATTTATTGAATTTTTTTTTTCACAAGTATATGTGTTGCCATTAGGTTATTCCTGGACTTGTCTAATTTTTTTTTAACAAAAAAATTTACGCGTATACATGTATTTTGTATGTGTATGTATAGCTTTATATACACATACATATTGTATGTGTGTACACAGTGTGTGTACAGTTTGCATGTGACTGGTTTTTGAAAATGGTAAATGGAAAGAGGGAGAGAGAAGGTGGGGTGGTGGTGGTGGTGGGACCCATGTGGGGCACCGAGTAATCAGAGGAGAGAGAAAGGAAGGATTTTAGAGAGAGATAAAGGGGGGTTTGATATTGAAGAAAGAAAAAAAAAGGCTTCAACATCACGACAGTGAAGGGATAGTAAAAGCCAGCTAGCAATGAAGGAGGAAACTCACCTACCGTCACCACAATTTCTCTCTCTCTCCTCTCTCCCTTTTTAACCCCTTTCTCTCCTCTCCCTCCTTCCAAACACCACCTCTCTCTCTATCTCTCTCTTTATATCTATATATGTCTCTCTGAGTTGAATACTACTATGTCATATTGGTAGTATAGTGGAGGCATAGGATACAAGAGACACTGAAGGAATTGGAATTTAGGGTTTTGTTTTGTTTTGTTTTGTTGTCTCAAAGTTATCGCCAAGTTTTGAACTTCTGCTTCGGTTGCTACCAATTTTGGGCGGGAATTATTAGGGTTTAAGCTCAGGTTTGGCTCTGCATTTTTTAAGTTTTCGTTCCCATTTCAGCAAATGTTTCTTTATTTCAATTTTTTGGGTTCATGCACAGAGGTTCCACGGCAAAAGATGAGATTTTTCTCGGCATTTTCTGAAAATTTTAAACAAGTCTGTATTTTGGTATTTTGTCCTCTGTTTGTTTCCTCAGAAAACAGAGGAGAAGTAGGGTAAAAGGGGAAAAGTTTGAATATTTTATTTTCAATATTTGTTTTGAAGTATGAAAAACTCAATCAATAAGCTATATATATATATATATATATATATTTTTTTTTAATTAATTATATTTATCTTAACAGAAACTCAAGAAATTTATGATCTTTTCACTTGCTCTATACTTTTTTTCTGATGTGTTGCGACATTTTCTTGCAGGTGGTAGACTGCTGAAAAGTGAAGACTCGAGTTCTAAGGATTTTACTACTTCAAGGTTTGTTCCATAAGTTATTTTTTTTTTTTCTAATATACTTTCTTCTGTTTGTTTTCTCAGACACCAAACTAAGGGTTTAATGTTTTCAATTCTAGTGGAAAATTTCCAGAAAAACACTAATTTGCCATGACTAGCAAGTTCTAGAATGAGCCCATATACTCAGTTCTCCAAATTAACTCTCTTTAAAATATTCTTTTATTATTAAGTGAAGATTCTTCCTTTCCTTTGTTTTCTCATAAACCAAACAAAGGCTACCGCCATTGTTTTCAATTCTAGTGGAAAATTTCCACAAAGACATTAATTTGTCATGGCTAGCAAGATCTAGAACGAGCCCATTTACTCACTTCTCCAAATTAACTCTCTTTAAAATAGTTTATCTATTATTAAATGAAGATTCTCACTATTTCAATTGGGGATTAAAATTTTCACTTTTGATAATATGTCCACAAGGCCTATGTGCTGGCGGGATCATTGACACATTGTCAAAGGTGTCCCAGCCAGCTGCCCACTCCACAAATCACGCCAAAAACAAATTTCTCATTGTTTTCTCACTTGGAATAATGGTCTCACTTTCCTTTGTATTTTCTTGTTTTTTTCTCAGGAAAATTTAAAAGAAGAGGATGATGGGGCCTGCTGATTGCATGGATTCTGATTTCATGGGAGATATAGACTGCGCCTTCTTTGAAAACATACTAGTTGATCTTCCTGCAGAGAACGAATTGGGTTTGGGTCCTGTTGACTACACCAATTTTCCGAGCATTTGGCCGAACATAGTGGAACCCCTTCCCGTTCCTGACCCAATTTTATCCTGCAACAACAACAGCAGCAATATCACTTGTGACCTCTCTACCGAACTCTCCGTTCCGGTGAGTTATAGAGTACTCTTGTGTTTAAAATATTGCTTCTTAAGCATAGTGTTTGAGTGTCGTGCTATAGATAGCCCTTTGATTGCTTTATAATGCTGTATGAATATTATGACACTGTTGTTGCCACTATGTGTTAGGATCCAAATCCTACCTAATAATGTATGTTATGAGAATGTTGTGATATGGGGTTCAAAATCATAACATTTTTGTAAGGTAATCGCGAACTGGACCTGACAGATAGGGCAGGACATACCTGCATGGTATTTGAATAACTTTTGTTCGAAATTCAAATCATCCAGAGTAAGTTCATTTTTGTCAAGTTTTAGGTCCCTTAACAATAAGTAGTGTAGTAGTCTTGACATTGTCAGAGTTCCTTCAAAATTTTCTACTCCCAAAGTGTCCTTGTCAATTTGTTAGATATGCATAGATATATATTTTATTTATTTATTCCTTGGTGGTTGGGTTTGGCGGGATTGGGTTGGGAGGGGTTGTCGTGTTGGTGTGCTTTTGCAATCCACCACACCTCCATATTAAATAAATCTAGATGTAGATGGCATAACAACATGTTGGTGTTAAGGTCATATGCAAGTCATCATCAATGGTCTTTTGTTACACATATTGCAAGGTTCTAATACTAGCTGCATGAAATTCTGCAGTGCTGAAATGTGTCATTGATTAATAATAATTAAAGTCAATGCTTGGTAGATATATTAACAGACATCGTTAGGAATGACTCTGAATTTATAATTACCCATTTGTGCCTATCATATGAGTTATTTCTCCTTTCCATTCTTCAACTTGTTCACTTATCAAACAGTGCGGAACAGATGAAGGGATCTGCTATTCGTTAGGAATTTGGTTATTGTACATTGGAATATGCGTCTTCATTATTTTGCAAACCTGGCCAAAGTTTCTTGTTAGATTTGTCAATTGGTGAATTCGGAAGGTGTAGTCCTGCATCTTGTCTGATTATTTCTTTTGTTTGCATTTTCTCAGTATGAAGACATTACACGTTTGGATTGGGTTGCGAATTTTGTTGAGGAATCCTTCTCTAGTGGAGGCATGACTCTTGACAAAGAGAACTCTTGTGTGACCAAGGAATCTTCTCACAACCACTTCCAGACCTCCAGCCCTGTTTCTGTCCTCGAGAGCAGCAGCAGCAGCAGCTCCAACTCCTGCTCAAGGGGAAAGACTCTGCCACCCAGCGCAACTCAACGAGCCCGCAGCAAACGCCCTCGCCCTGCAACTTTTAGCCCCCGGCCAGCAATTCATCTTAATTCCCCCACCACCTCTGTTACTGAGGCCCCCGAGCAGTCCCTTGCTCCGGTTGTTTCGTCAGAATATGAGAATTTTGCAGAGTCACATCCTTTGAAGAAGATACCTAAGCCACCAACTGCCGAACACAAGAAAAAAAGGAAAATTAAGTTTACATTTCCATTGGGTCCCATAGAGATGAACCAAATTCAGCCATCCCAAGCTGTTAGAAAATGCATGCATTGTGAGATAACTAAGACGCCGCAATGGAGGGCAGGGCCAATGGGGCCTAAAACTCTGTGCAACGCGTGCGGTGTCCGCTACAAGTCTGGGAGACTCTTCCCCGAATACAGGCCTGCAGCGAGTCCAACATTCGTTCCAGCCCTGCACTCCAATTCCCACAAGAAGGTTCTAGAGATGAGAGGCAAGGTCGGCGAGGAAACATCCATGGCCGGGACTGTGACTACTCCTCCCACAACCCCGCAGCCAGAACTCATTCCGAATACGAGCAACATGTTGATGGATTACATGTGAGGGAGATGTAAACTTTGGGATCTTCTCTATACAGCGTCACTTCCTCCTTCAGTCTTGTGTAATACCGCTTACTGTTTTTCCATTTCTTGGTTCTTTTGTTCTTTTGTTTGTACAGATGGTGGGGGGATAGGAGCAATAGATGAGCATATTTTAGGTGGTAGAGAAAATCAATGAAATGAGAGTACTGAAAGAAAGGGTTAGAGATAAATGGATGGTTTAGGGTTAGTGGTCAGGTCTTAGTTATGCTTTTAGATGCTTGAGTTTTATAGGGTTCTAGAGTCTTAGTGTTTTTTTGGTTCTTTTCCCCCCTTCCTCTATGGGAATTCTTTTTTGCAGTTTATTTTGTTAGGAAATTCTGAAATGATAAATGGGATTTGAATTTCATATAATGCTTTCTTCTACATGCTTTGTCACCTGTTTTTTTAATATATATATAATGGTATGTATTGAATTTCTTAATAATTTCAAATCCTCTCCTCCTTGCAAGTGAAAATGAGAGGGTTATTCTTTAGGAGAATCAATTAAGATGATATAATCATGTGTAGTGATGGTCAATAATTGCTGTCAGTAAAGTGACTTTATCTTTTGGAGAATAAAAACTAATGAATTGAGATGGAAAAATTTTAATTGTATGTTATTTAGATTTATATGAGAATACAAAGGAGAACAATATCACTAATGAATCAAGAATACTAATAATGCTGTTGCCAATATAGATGCTAAGATTGACAAACCAGCAAACTAGTGCAACAATGGGATCCCAGCAAATGAGAATATAGTAAGAAAAAAAAGAAGATGCAATTTAGGAGGAGAATATTTATTTGACAACTATGGGTTCAAGGGGGGTTCATTTGTCCCACTCCTATAGGATTATGTGGTGTTCTACTACTTTTCCACTAGTCTTCCTATTCATGGTGTGTGGATGACTACTCCCATTGCTAGTGGTTGGTACTAGACTGCCTTTTATTCAATGGGTTAGTCCAGTACAAGAGATTTGGAGTTAAATGTACAAAAATAGATGATAAGTGGAGTTTTTTTTGTACAGTTTCAGAAAAATGTTTTTTAAAGTTACAAATTAAGCAGACCCCTGAAGCGGTTTTTGGATGATCCGAAGAACATTCCGCCTATAAAGTTGTTTCATGCTTTGAACTCATAACCTTGCGTTACGACGAAGCAAAGTTACTGTTGACAGCTATGAAGTATTGACAAAGCAAATTTGCAGCTGTTGAAGATAAGAATGTACTCCCATTGCATATGACACCATCATAGCAGATAAGATGTACATTGAAATAGATTTGCTTCTAATACAAATTTTGAAGCATTGGATACTTATTTCTGGTGGGAAAGATAGATAGAATGACAGATATTAACTAATTACCTTCAATGATCTTGTCCATCAAGCAGGTCATTATCCATTAGTCCCTTCAATTGAGCAGTATTGTGCATTACAATTAAATTTTAGAATAATGTTGGAAGAACAAATTTTCTTTTCTTTCAATTTTCAAGAACAGAGGGACCACCAATGGGTTTTATAAATCTAGAAGATTGTCACCACATCATTCTAGATTAAATTTTGTTACCGAAGTTATATTTGTCTAACATTTTATGACTGAAAAAAAAAAAAAAAAAAAAAAGAAAGAAAAAAAGAAGAAGGTGGGTTAGCCCAGTGCACGGAATTTTTGTCAGTGTGTGGTCTGGATAGACATTTTTCTTTGGTAACAAAATTTCTATATAAACATTTTTCACATCCAGGGTCAATGGCCCATTGGGACCTAGCCTTTGCTGGCTAGTGCATATTTCAATTTTATTTTTTTGGGTAAGTAAATTACACACACCCATCCATTATTTTTTCATTGAAGACTCGAATCCTCAACTTTTCATTTGAAATGCAAAGAAGATACCACTCCGACAAAGCCCTCGTGGTAGGCTTTTGAAAACTTGTTGAAACCTTTCATAAGAAACGCTTGTTATAATAAAGCCCAAAACAAAACATAATTAATACCCAAAGTGACGTGGGCATTACCCAAGTGACCTAATTGATAGAGCTCCCAACGACCCTACTGGTTGTGTTCGTGTTCAAGCCCCCCCACTATCCCAAGTTTGCCACAGGAGTATCCAAACACCACCACCTCACTTTTTGGCAAAATTAGTTGGCCCTCCTAATCGAATAAACAAAAGTCCAATCCAAACCAATATATGTATATATATAGAAGTCCATGTGGTGTTGCCAAACAGGTAGTATCCAAACACAACCTTACTTTTTGGGCCAGCTGAATTTTGAAGGTTAGAAACATTAGTAGGCCCACCAGATTTAATATCAAAAGTCCAGCCCAAACCATTTTTTGATAGAGGCACATGTGGTGCTTCCAAATGGTACAAATTTTCTTCACACACACTGCGTGTATTAAGTGGTATCCAAACACCACCTTACTTTTGGGCCGACTATTGGTCTCACCAGCTTAGATGCAAGCCCAGCCTACGAAAGATAGAATCGAAATTTTTATTATTTTCCTTATGTATAATGTTTGTATATGATGTATATAATATATGTTATGAGACATAATAACATCCAGAAAAAAAGAAAAAAGAAAAAAAAAAGTTTGTTCTTTCAAATCAACTATTGTGTTGTAATTCATAGTTCTTCAATATCCACTGCCTTGGAAAACCACCACCTTATTGTTTGGACAAGATAATTGTGACTTAAAAGAAAAAGAAAAAAACACATTAATAAATAATTATTATTATTTCAAGAAATTAAACCACCAAATGAATGAATATATCATCCGTTACCAAGGATGTAGTTTACTCGTATTTCTTCATCTTTTAAAGTAAAAAGTTGAGGATTTAAATCTTATAGAGACAAAGTCGATAAAATTGATATTTGAATTTTTTGACAAGGTAAAAAATAATAAATAAATAAAATGCAATTTACCACACACAAAATATAAGAAAAAGTAAATTGAACATAGAATATGCAACATAGAAATTAACGTGAAAATATTATCCCAAAAAACTACATTCCACTAATTAAATCAAACGATACAATTGTCTTCTTAATTCATTTAAGTACAAAACTTGAAATAATATAATTAATTTGCTCCAAGTTACTTCACTTAGAGAGAGCAAATAAAACAAAAATAATTGGCCGTTTTGTCTCTCACTGGTCGGCAGACGTTGACAAATTCTCAACGGTAGAATTCATATACTTATAATTATATACAGTGTTATATACAAAAATGATCATATATATTATATATATATATATATATATATATTATTAGTGTTAAAGGTTTTTTTTTTTTTTTTTTTTTTTTCTAACAAATTAGGAGGAGAGGAGTTTGAAGACGAACACCACTCAAGAAATTAAGCTTTTTAACAATTCGATCACTAAATAATTCATATAATTAAAACTTAAAATTATAAATTTTATATATATATATATATATTTTCCCTTAGTATAAAGTAAACATACGTGTCCATTACCTGTTGGACATTGTCAAAGGCACAAAATTACAATGAAAAGTCATGTACTGTAAATGATTTATTGTCTTCATCTGCCGCCATAGGGACAGAGATTCTGAAATGGGCCCATTTTCAGGTGGGACCCACACTGTCACCGTCCTGTTAACTAACCGACGAGAATCCCACAGTATGTGATGACAAACCTGTCAGAGAATTTAGATTTTGATCCAAATTCAAATTAAAACCTATAAACATGATTCGAATTCATAATAGCGTAATAGTAACATTATGTTTGATTTACTTACGGAAAACAAAATTGTTTAATTTAAGTCGATTTTCAGTTGTGTTATGATTTCTCTCTATCCAACATTCAATAAATAAGCATTCAAATTATCGGACAAGAATTCTCTATTGTATAAGAAAAGTTCATCACAAAATTTAGTGATTCAGATTAAATTAATATATGAGACTCATTACTGATGATGCAATCTCAACCATTGAACTCAGCGTAAGATATCTCATACGGTGGAGATATCATTGTTTCAAATTACCTATAAAAATACGTAATATGCCTAACACATCCAATATATACAATTATACAAATATATGCATGTGTCATATTTGATTATGATTTTTACATTTTGGGTAAAGTAATTTTTAAAAAAAAAAATATTTTGAAGCAAACATGATGGAGAAAAGACTCGAATATGAACACAGTATTCGTAGAGCTGCTTTATTAATTAGGTCACTAACTAATGCCTTTGAAGTCCAACAATTGAATAGATCGAAATGATCACTTTGAATAGGCACCGAATTATAAGTGAACCTCCGTAATTCTTTCGAATTTGTCTGACTATCATACTCAAATAGTAACAACGAGACTTATTAACAACACTATTTCAAAAATAGGTTGTTTATAAATCATAGAGTTAAGTATCTAAAACACCTCTAAGGTTTACTTTTTTCAGCAAATAACACCCTTTTTACTTTTAGTAAATAACTTCCTCAAGAATTTAAAAATGCTGTAAGGAATGACTTTTCGACTTAAAGTAACATTTGCCTAGTACATGACTGATTAAATTTAATAAATACCAAAATTATACTTTATTGATTCCCAAAACGCCCTTCCCTCTTGTATATAAATCTCAAAAATAAAAGAATATAATAATTATTTTTATTTGTAGTATTTTTATCATCCCATTAACGATCAGTTGAATGAAAGTCTTTATTTGTTTCTATAATAAACGTTAGAGAATTTTCAAAACTTATAAAAAATTATATAAATTATATGCATACTCATAGAAAGGAGTGCTAACTGCTCCTGAGGGTGAATCATATTCAAATTAATGTACAAAAAAAAAAAAAAAAAAACATTATCAACCAACCCAATACCTTCCAAAATGCACGGGCAAGAATTCAATTTCTTGCAATTGCAAAGTGTGGGGCCAACAAAAGCTACACTTGTAGGTTTGTCTGAGGCTATTCATATATTAATTAGACTTTAAATAAAACCATAGTTGGAAATATTAGCAAAAAAGAAAAGGACTACTTTTGGTACCTAATTAGAGAGAGAGGCAAGTTTTCCCATTTAATTGTAGTTAAGATGTCCAGTTGTGTAGTAGTTAGTTAGCTAGTTAACTGCAACATTTTCTTTTTTTGGTAGGGGGGAACCCACAACTCTTGAGAGTTAATCAATAATGTGTCAGAAACAAAAGTGTGACTTAGGAACTTGGATTTTGTTATGAGGTTCTCTGCATGAAATTTGAATAGGTAGAGTATTGTTGTAGCCTTTGAAGTGTGTGAAGTGTGTGTCTGTACATTTGTGGGTATATATTCAAGGCCGTGAGCCTTAATCACTTTATGATACGTAAATTGGGTATATAAGTCACAATAGGTACGATCTTAAAAGTTCCTAATTTTATTTTTTGTGTGTATACAA